TTAATACATTTATTATTCTTGCTGCAATGTTTAATTTTTCAAAAAAAAATCGGGGAAAAAAATAAAATATGTACAATATGGCAAATGTAACAAAATATGTACAATGCAACAAATACTGTAAAATATATTCAAAGTAACAAATGTAATAAAATATATACAATATAACAAATACAGTAAAATGTATACAATTTAACAAATCCGTCAAAATAAATACAATCCTTAATGGTATTATTATCCGTTAACTCTGTTTGACGCGACATTCAATTCACTTAAAAAAAAGAAACAATACAGATGGTTGCTATAAATGCATAACTGAAATGTATCAAATAAGGATGTTAAATACACGTGATTAGGTCCTAAGCCGGCATGCATTAGCAAGTATTTGCTCTTGTCTATAAATAAACTCTATTCATGATATGAACTTCCTCCTGAGCAAACCGGTACCCGGTTAGTTACTGTCCATTTCTCTTCGAAAACGGACGATAGCCAGTTCGGTTAATCGGACTTTTTTTCTCTGTCGCTGCGCGTTATGGAACGTTGATCGAGCAACAATCACCCGCGACCATTGATTATTCCATTCGCTGTTCTTCGGTCGCACGAATTCCACCGAATCTGAAACTGTGATTTACGGCTTCGTTGAAGCCCAGCAGTGTTTCAATTGTGCCCACAGAGTACATCGTCGAACGTCGGTTCGAATGAACTAATTATACCCTCGTATGGAGTAATCGTTCCATAAGATATTTGCAATTTGTACGATCCGGCTCGCAGTCGTCTTGTCTCCGCAGATAAGTATGCAACACCCGAAGTATAATTTTGCTCGGCACGGTGAGAAAGAGAAACTGTCGGCGAAGGCGTTTAATAAAGAAAATGAAGATACAAGAGAATTACATAAGATGAAACAGACTCGGCCGTGCCACAATGTGCTATAATGAAGCGGTAGACTATGTACGGTGTGTCTAAATATACGGTGCGAACTACAAAAGCGCGATCGTTCGTACCAGAGTATAGTGAACCGTGGGGTTTTCTCTGTTTTCTGGAATATCGAGTTTGAAAATCCTCCGGACACGTGCGACTGTCTGCGATTGGCTACCGCGTACGATCAGTGCGGCGCCATAATTTTTGGAAATTAATTTAATAATTAATTAATTTAATTTTTTAAATTAATTATGTTCATCCACATTAATGAATTGCAAAAATTAATTTCATTAAAGTCAATAAATTTAAAATATTAATTTAATAAACTTAAAGAAATACGAAAATTAATATAACTAATATAAAATGTAATTATTATTATTATTTATTATCGGGGCTTGTAAACCCATTAAAGCTTTTGATATCTTTTCCCGCAACGAGTTTTAACCGAAACTACGGAGACACAAAGAATGAACAAACCATTGTTAATAGTTTATTATTAATAACACAAACAAGATACCAAACTTGGGAAATGACAAAATATCCTAACGGTTGGTGAAACAAAGGACATTCTATCATTTCATCTTTCCATAACAAAGTATAATTTAAAAAGTAACTAAATCAATAATTTAAAAGTAATTTAAAAAATAACTGAATAAGTAATTTAATGATTAAATAAAAAAATATAAATAATATATAAATATATATAATAATATATTTAAATAATATATTATATAACATATAAATAAAATATATAAATATATATAATAATATATAAATAATATATATAAACAATTTCAAGTGATTCAGTTTGTATTTTTATTCGCGTGGTTTTCGGGAAAACGGGCTTAGACGTACAAGTGGACTGCGGATTTTTTGTATTTATGAGAAGAATGAATGTGTCAAATACAAAGCGGAAATAACATTAGAAGAATTCAAGAATATTATTGCATTATTTTTAACTTGTTATGATTACTGAAAGAAGAGAAGACATTTTCATGTGAGTTATATTCCTTGCAATTAGCTTAGACAATTCTTATTTTGGCATAAAGGTCCGCAGTTTACGTACAAGGTGACCGAATCTGCCCTTTGTTTGCGATTTTTAATTATACACGAATAACATAATGCACATTGTTCGATAGCTTGCCAAGAAGGAGACACTCTTTGCCAAGTCTAAATCGGTAAATGTGCACAAAAAGGTTAAATCTCGTTGATTTTCATAAAATTGAAATATGTTGTAACACTGAACATTTTTAACGTCTTTTTCTTTTGAACATTACCGCCGTTCGTGCTTAGTTTTTCAGATATTCGAGAAAGACTACAGCTGCTATTATTAGGTTATTTGGAAAATAATTTTGTTTCCCCATAGGCAAAATGAAAGGCGATGTTTTATTATCTAGAGTAATGTTTATTCAATGATTTATGCAAGATTAAATTAAATTCTTAAATTAATTTGAAAATATTTATTAAGTTAATTTACAAATTACTTTGACATTATTTATTTAGTTATTTTTTAAATTACTTAAAAATTATTTACTTAGTTACTTTTTAAATCACTTTGTAATTATTTACTTGACTGTTTTTCTAATCACTCTGAAATTAATTACTCAGTTATTTTTGAAATTACTTTTAAATTATTAATTTAGTTATTTTTTAAATCACTTTGAAATGATTTACTTAGTTGCTTCTTGTATTATTTTGAAAGTATTTATTCAGTTATTTTTTAAATTACTATTTAAATTATTTATTTAGTTACTTTTTAAATTACTTTAAAATTATTTATTTAGTTACTTTTTAAATTACTTTAAAATTATTTATTTAGTTACTTTTTAAATTACTTTAAAATTATTTATTTAGTTACTTTTTAAATTATACTCTGTTATATTAGCAAAGATTATCTTCGATACAAAATGATCTTTGTTTCACCAACCGTTAGAATATTTTGTCATTTCCCATGTTTGGAGTCTTGTTTTTGTTATTAATATATATATATTCTTTGTGTCTCCGTAGTTGCGGTTAAAACTCGTTGCGGAATAAAATACCAGAAGCTTTAATGAGTTTACAAGTCCCGATAATAAATAATAATAATTACATTTTATATTAGTTATATTAATTTTTTTATTTCTTTATATTTATTAAATTGATTTTTCAAATTTATTGACTTTAATCAAATTAACTTTTTCAATTCATTAATGTGGATAAAAATAATTTGTTAATTTTAATGATTTTGATAAAATTAATTTTCTAAAATTGATTTTAATTAAATTCAAAAATTAACTGTACGTGGCATATGAAGTTAGTTTTCGAATAATCTGATACATTTAATTTTACCACACTAAGGGCACGTTCGCGGAGCGCGTTTGGCTACTGTTTCTACATACGTATAAAGACGTCAAAAACATCCGTAAGCAATCCATATAACGGGTGAATTTTTTAACACGTCGACTGCCGTGTCACCATGACGACATTATTTCTCCAAATCAATAATGAACTTTAACGTTAATATATTCAGTGTACTAAAACGACTAGCAACATGCAAGAATGTTGCAACAGTGATCAATACCATACAACTTAAATTTTCAACATCTACTTCATTAAAGAAATTCCATTAATTTCATGGAATTTTTAAGGCTGTTGAGTCTGCAGTCAACGTATTAAAACTAGTACCGAAAATTTAATCCAAGTCTAACTCAGATTTAATCCAGATCTAATCCAGACCCAACCAGTTAAAATAGCAACAATATAACCTTAACATTATAATAGTACTTTTTGCTGGACTTATCTCAGACATAACCAAGAGTAAATTCAGATCTAAGTGAATAAAAAAACAACAATATAATAATTTTCGTTGTATCGGATCTAATCCAGACTTAATTACATAAAACAGTAATAGTATAATAGCAATAGTATAATAACAGATTTCTTGTTTTGGGATCTAAATCAGTCGTAACTGAGACCTGAACTACACTGACCGAATAAAATAGCAATATTATAATAGTTAGTTTTGACGGATATATTCCAGACCTAACCCGAACTTAATCCAGACCTAACTCAATGGAAAAACAATAATACGATAACCTCTTTGGAATCGAACCAAAACGAAACGTAATAAAGACTCAAATCAATAAAATAGCAATGATATTTTAAATTTTGGACATGACCCAGACCTAACTGAATAAAAAAGCAACAATATAATAGTTTTCTCGTACCAAACCTATTCCAGATCTAATAAAGACCTGACTCTATAAAATTTCAGTAATATAAGATCTGTCACTTGGAACCTAGTCGAGCCCTATCCACGACCAAACGCTGACCAAATTCATGCCTAACACGCTATAATAGAAATAATATAACATTTTTTTATCTCGGATCTAACTCAGAACTCAACAAGGCTTAATCCAGACTGAATAAATTAACAGTAGTATAACAGTTTCTTTGTTTCGAACTTAATCTAGACCTAACCCATACATAAATCATATCAAACTAAATAAAATAGTAAAAATATAACAGCTTCCTTTGTTTCAGATCTAACTAAACAAAACAGCTATAGTATATCAGATTTCTTATTTTCGACCTAATCCAGGCCTAACTTACTTAGACTTAATAACTCACACTTAACTAAATAAAATAGCAACATTATCGTAGTTCTTGTTGTCTGACCTATCTCAGACCTAACTAAGACTAAGTCCAGACCTGACTGAATAAAAAAACACTAATAGTCCCTTTTGTATCGGACCTAACTTAGACCTAACTCACACCTAACTAAAAAAATAGCAACGTTATAATAGTTCTTGTTGTCTGACCTATACCAGGACTAACTAAGACTAAGACTAGACCTGACTGAATAAAAAAGTAGTAATAGTCTTTTTTGTTGGAATCTACAATTTTACAACATATAATCGACAAAGTGTAACTTATTATGCATAAATATCGTTCAACCCTGCACCTTATTCGATGAAATAGTTACAGGGAAACTTTGAAAACCTGTTTACCTTCGATTTTCATCTTGGAAATGTTTATGAAAATTGTTTGAAATCCATTTGAATGATTTTATATAACGAATTTTGTACTATAGAATTCTGTCAATTTATCAAATTTTTTAATACGGAGGATTGTAGTAGACATTACAGTATACAGGGTGGTCTGGTGGGAGTTAGTACTCGAATATTCCCGTTATTTTTTAAGATACGACAGAACTTTATTAACAGAAATATTTCAGTATAGAGCTCTACAATATAGAGGTAATAATGTTTATGCAGCTGGCAAAGTCTCAAAGATTTCAAGGTCACCTCCACATTTTTAGATAGAGTTATATGGGGTGTCCTAAAATTATTATACAAGCGATAAATGAGAGTTTCTTGAGGTATTTGAAGTAACTTTTTCCTTAGTGAAAATGCAATCCGCGGCTTCGTTTACGAGTTATTAACGAAAAATAGTGACCAATGAGAAACGAGCCCGACTGGCGCGAGGCGGTCGAAGCCCAGTTCCACTCATTGGCTCGGCCGCATCGCGCCAGCCGAGCTCGCCTCTCATTGGTCAGTGTTTTTCGATAATGATTCGTAAACGAAGTTGCAGATTACATCTGCGCCGAAGAAAAAGTTACTTCAAATGACCCCAGGAATCCCACATTTCCCTATTTGAAGTAACTTTTGGGACACTCTGTATTGTATATGTATAGGTATTTTGAGAATGACGTATATGTTGCTAGGAAAGAAATTATGCAGCGATTAGGGTCAAATGGTAAAGATCTTAGGATGACTAATAAGTAGGGTACACGTAACACATAGATAAGGCACGAGTAATTGGTAAAGAATAAAGATTTCGTTAGTGATTAGTTAAACGAAAACAAAAGCAAACTGACGTCGATGTGCCAGTCTATATTGGCATCCAACGATATTGATCTATTGAAATTTTAATTGAATATTTCTTCCTACGAAAAGAAGCTTTTGGAGGCTTGACCAATGGAATCCCAAAATGTTTGCGACATTTGCGGGGAGCTTGCGACTCATAAGTGTAGTGCCTGTGAAAATGTTTATTACTGTTGCAAAGAACATCAGAAGAAGGGTTGGAAGAAACACGCTAAGATCTGCAAACCATACAAGGTGAGGCTATTATTTAATTTGAACGACGTTCGACGTAACCATATAATTAATATTTGCGTTTGTTAATATACTTATTCATATGTATACTTGATTGTTAATTTTGTATTCAAATTACGAAAGATCATTTGTTGAGATTTATACATAATTTTTATTGTGACACGAGCATAATTATACTTTATGTTGTAATTTCGATTAACCTAAATGATTATATACATATAATCTGTTCTAATTATTAGTGCAAATTTCATACCGTAACTCTATAATACTTTTATTTGCACAAGTTCTCTATCTAACAATTACAAATTATTACCATTGTCATATTCGAAATCTCTGAAATAATATATTCGTGAACAATAAAATTCAAATGTCTTATGTTACGTTCTTACGAGACTTATTGGTCCGACATTTTTAATAGAAAAGAAAATATGCACAGCTTGGTTGGGCTATTTCTCAAACAATATTTAATTCAAATTACATTAGAATAGAACCTCGATTATCTGGACTAATTGCAATATTTAATTGCTATTATTGTACAGAACAAATGACCACAGGAACCCCTCATTTCCTGCTTGTATAATAATTTTGGGATATCCTGTATATTACACATATGTGTGCCGGTGATTTTGAAAGTGATACAAGTCATTTACAGGATGTCCGTTTTATCTGGAAATCCGAAATATCTCAGAAATTACGAGAGATAGAGAAAGAATGTTTCAACGAAAATTGTTTGGTATGGAAGTGAGGATAATGTGATATAAACAGTTTTCTTGTTAGTGAAAATATGACGAAGATGAAACAAATGAAACAAGTGAAAATTTTGAATATTTTTGGTTTCATGGCTTATACCACTTTCAAAATCACCAGCACATATGTATACATATATACATATAACTACACTGTAGTATGCCAAGTGATGCAAGATAAAGTTTACATGAAATCCGTACGGTTAAATTTACACGGCCTGGTGCCTCATCTCAACGCACAAGTTAAATTCTCCTTAATTGACGCTCGGATTGTACACAAAAATGGAAAATTTGGGAAGAAGAGATACGATTGTTCATTTATTGTTGTTTATAGTTGTTTTGTCAACAACTAAAAAAACGACTTGTAAGGCTCGAATAATCGCATCTCCTCTTCCCAAATTATCCATTTTTGTGCGCAATCTGAGCGTCGATTAGGGAGAATTTACTGTATAGGGAATGATTATAACATCAAAAGAAAGGAGACAAACGTACATAAATAGGATGTCGCGCGCGCGCGCGCGATTGGACACAGTAAACATGCAAGAAAGAAAATTTTATTTTCAGTAATTTTCGTCATACTTTTATAATCGTAGCGCCAATGGCCAGCTGAGATTCTTCTGATTAAACTAAATCCAAACACGATGTTAATCGGGCTACGTTTATCAAAGAGTTTGTTATTATACAGGTTGAGTCATGTAACTTGCACATTTTAAATGACTTAACATTAGTTGATCTTGGAAACTTAGAAACTCTTCTACAAAAAATCCTCTACTCATCTTTCTCTGCATCATCTACTCACCTCTACTCATATAACAATTTTTCATAAAATGCATAATTTAAAAGTTATTTGAGATGCGCAAGTTACCTGATTCACCCTGTAAATAACTTATTAATCAATCCAAAAATAGTTGAAATTGATCCCGTATACATCGTATTTGGATCTATTTTAGTCAGAAGAATCTCAGCTATCTATTATTGCTGCTATTATAGACGAAATGCGACAATGATTGAAAATCAAATTTTTATCACATGTGAAATTTGGAAACATACTTGATAAAACGAACAATTAGTTTTATTGGCAGGGAAATTACTATGATAAAAAATGACAAGCATACTTGATGACACTACATTCTAATATGAAGAAAAACTTATATTATGAAATTAAAGTCAGAAGTAAGTTTTTTCAACCTAATTTAATATTATGACATAATCCAGACAGACTTTGCGCCAAGCGTATAAAAATTATTATCTCTGCAGACTGGTGGTTGAAAACCATTGATTTATGAAATTGCAGGCACCAGTCATCGATTTGTTCCTCTCCTACAATTTTTGAACTCAAAATTGTTCTCGATACTTGAAATTCACCAGAGAATTTGGTTTCGAAGTTAACAGAAGACCCGGTTCTGGGTCGCCATTATGTGGCCACAAGAAACATCAAAGCAGGAGAAATCATTATCAAAGAGGAGCAGCCTCTGTTCACCGGCCCCATGTTTAATTCCGTTCCCGTGTGTTTGGGATGCTTCGTCGCGCTGCAGAAAGATAGCGCTGTACCTTGCCCAAAATGCGGATGGCCTCTTTGTCCGAGCTGCAAGCAGCACGGATTGGAATGTGATTTCACTTCGTCTCGCAGAACTGAAAAGGTAACTGTCACCGCAAACTTAAGATTCTACAGACTACAGACATCGTATGCAATGCTATTTTTTGTCTCGGAGTCTGAATTACCGACTCTGTAGAAAATGCCATAAACTTAGGATCCGTATAGTCATTGCATCTTATGGGCTTTTGTGTTCCAGCTTTGAGGGATCCTAACCTAAGACCCCCCCACCCTTACCACTTCGTTGTCGCGCCCGGCGTTACCAGTAATGCGTGAATTTTAGCACGTTATCAAAAAACTAATATCTTATACAAGGTGACCTATTTAAATCGATCCAGTCAAATATCTTTGAAATCGTCGACGATACTAAAAAATTTTGCAAACGAAATTTGAATGGTTTTCAGAGGCACGTAATCTGACATTAATAAGATTTTTCTAGGGGAACGCGTTGAGGACATATAAAGGTCAACTTTATTTGTTTTAATGGAATCATATATTTTTTATTATATTAGTCGATTTAGCTCGCCATTCTTTTCATAATAATACTGAGACACATTAATAATATCTTACAATAGTGAGAAATCATTTGTTTAGAAGATATTTGAATTTTAGTGTCGTTTAGAGGCAAAAGTAAATCTTTGCATTCAGACTGAAGGTCGCATTCTTGAACACCAACTTTAGGTAGGCGGGTAGTAACACTATGAATTACAAAAATTAAAATATCTTCTAAACCAATGATTTTTCGCAATAAATGGGTCAGTACTTTTATAAGGAGAATGGCGAGCTAAATCGACTAATATAATAAAAAATATATGATTCCATTAAAACAAATAAAGTTGACCTTCATATGTCCTTGACGCGTTCGCCTAGAAAAATCTTATTAATTTCAGATTACGTGCTCCTGAAAACCATTCAAATTTCGTTTGAAATATTTTTTAGTATCGTCGACGGTTTCGAAGATATTTGACTGGATCATATTAAATGGATCACCCTGTATACAGTGGTGTGAACAATTATAGATAAAGAGTAACTTTGAGGGACACTAAGACACTAAGACACTTTTAGTGAAATTTAAACAAAAACTTAAGGATATATCATATTTGTATATTTCTATTTTCTATTATTTCTAATATAGAAATGTACAAGTATAGTTTCTTTTTCTTGGCGTTTGTTTAAATATCTGTAAAAAATGTAAAAGTTACTTTGAATTTATAATTATTCACAACGCTGTAGGTGGTCTCTTTTAGCTGAGTCATCTTGCATATTTAAAATAAAATTTAACAAAATATCATATTTGTATGTTTCTATATTAGAAATAATAGAAAATATAAATATACAAACATTTATATTCCAGGAATAATAAAAAATGGAAATATATATAGATATTTCTATGTTAGAAATAATAGAAAATAGAAATATACAGATATTTCTATGTTAGAAGTAAATAAAAAAATGAATATACGAATATGATATTTTGTTTAGTTTTCATTCAGATACCAGTAACAATGCAAAAGTTACTTTGAGTCTATAATTATGCACATCACTGTACAGTTGATCCACCTACAACACGGTTAATTCGTTCCGTGTTGTATCGAACCCGAGTTAAAAGAAACCAGAGGTGAGAGGTCACGAATGAATTGAGGAGCGTTTTCTGATAAATATGAGTTCAAACATGGCATCATTCCGACTATCTTTAATAATATTATAATTTTTGCATAACATTATGTATTAATAAAGAATGTTCGATTACACTCGAGTTTAGACTCATTTTCATCGAAGGAAACTCCTCAATACATTCGCAATATTTTTATGAAAATGCATTTAAAAAAATGTAAAAGTTTAAATTTTCATTCGCGCCTAATTCCCCGTCTGTTTACATCGTATGCCGTTGAGTAGCTAGGACATTGACAGTCAATGCTCGAGACTTGTCAGCACTATTTAAATTTGAGCTGGAAAAAATTATTCGAAAATTGATTCGAAGCCTTCGTATAAATATACCGATAAAACATGAAAATTTCATTTGACACTGAGAATAAACTCCCGTCAAATAAAATTGTTTATTCGATAATCATGGAATAAAGATACTTTTTTATTCGAATCGTTATTTAAATAATTTTTTATCTAAATAATGCCCAGCTCTAGAAGAATCGGTAATAAATTGTGTACAGATGTTAATG